TTTTCAGCACAAATTCTGACTTAGGTTCTTTTCTGGTGTTGATGCAAGATTTTCTCCACGCCAAAAGATGAACAATCATCTTTTACTTTGAGAAGCTGGATTCACCTCAAACCACAATTATTCTTTGAGAGCATCAGCACCTTTCTGGGTAATCCTGTTCAAGGAAGCCATTAACTTAAACTGCAAGTTGTACCTCCTCTCATTTTTCAATGACACACGCTTGTTATTATTATTGTTCTGCTTATCAGTGCATCTCTCTTTCTGGGGATGTATTATTTCATGCTTCGACATCTCACCACAAAGTACAGCCATAGTTTCCAACCACATATGTAAGAGTAATTGAAAGAAAAATTTGGAAAGTCTTTGTTCAGGAGACATGTCTCCTAAATCATGTTGAACTGGTAATCAAATGGATTCAATAGTTGCTCTAACTTTAACTCAGCAAAATGAGCCTTTCTGAACCCATGGTAGGGAGTTATTCTAATTGAACCCAGGACCCCTTGTGATAGAAAATGCTGAATTTTCTAAGCAGATTTGAGTTCACGTTCTGGATTGGAGGTGAGACTGGCTGCAGGGATACAAGAGCATCAACCAAGTTCTCTGGAGGCAGTGTTTTTGCTCCTTTGCAACCTTTTAGCCCCAGAATAGCTAAATATTGACTTTTCTAGTATGGAATAGCAATGTTGCCCTGGACTGGTCCTCAGCCACATGTGCCAGAGACCCCAAGGGATCTCCTTTCCTTACAGCGTGAGAGGTGGTATAAAATCTGTCTTTAAGACCACTTTGAATCCTGCTGGAATGGTACAAGGGGATTTGGCTGGCACCAAAATATGTTGGGTTTTTTTTCTTCTTCGAGTCTGATCATGAGGGATGGATTACAAGCCTTTGGAGAGTGATTAGTTATGTTTGTTAAACCAGTTCTTAGCTGGATCCAGCCTTTTGGTCAGGAGTCAGGCGAGGAAGCATAAGTCCAAGTGTGACAGAGAGGAAAACATCATGTGTGTGGCCCACATTTTGTTATTTCTGTAAAAAAATGTCCCAGTGGCTACATGATGTTACATTAGCCAAGGTGTTCCACTGCTTTAAGTCGTTCCCTGGCTTCCAGAAAAAAATAATCTCTCCAAATGAACTGACTAATAATTGAGGGAGACCTCAAACGATCCCCAAACAGCCCACATATTAATTAAAGACAGATCAAAGTAGAGTTTCTCCTGTTCTCTCTGGAGGCAATTGAATTTCTGAGGGAAAGATAATTCCTCGTGGCTTTTCCTTGGTTTCAAGCTGAGAAATGCACCCTGTTTCCTGGCTGGCAGCAAAGATGTGGGTGATGTATGAGGAGCAGCCCGGACTGAATGCAGGAACATGCTGCTGCCATTTAATCCAAGATAATATATTTCACCATCATACGCCTGGAGTTTTTCAGCAACTGGTTTAATGTATTGGAAAATATTTGGCTTGCCTTGGAAGTGTTTCCCATTTGAAAACAAGCTGCAGTGGGAGAGCTGGCAGTCGCACAGGAGGCTGCTCCGTGAAAATTGGATTTCCCTGAGCGGCGCAGTGGGAATGGGTCACAGTGAGGGCTTTGAGCAGCTCCCAGAAAAGGCTCCAGGCTCTACAGATCTGCCAATGGAGAACTCCTCCCCTTGGTCTCCAGAGGACTGCTGTCACCTCGTAGCTTGGCAGAAGAGGGATTTGGAACGCATTTTATTCCTGGTTTCTGTCCCTGGGGCAAGGAGGACGTGCAGAAGAAGAGCAAAGCCTGGCTTATACTCATGAATTAAAAATCTTGGGATTATTTTAAATCTCCAGCTGCGGAGTAGAATCTCCATTCTAATTTTGCTCTCATTTTAAGACTATTTTCTTAACCTCAACAACTACAGAACCATTAGCTGGCTCTAATTTATTAGTAAGCAACACCAGGACACCCGGTCCTGGTTGAGAGAGCCAAAGGTCTCATGCATGAACTCAGGTGACACACTGAATTTCCTCTGGGGCCTCTATTACCTGCACAGGAATCAACAGCTCCCCCTCTCAGGGGTGACGTGAGGACAAGTTCTGCTGCTGTTGTGATAATGCTGAAAGAGGCTGCTTGCTCCAGCCCTGGAGAGATTTGTTGCTGTGCCTAAGCCCTTCTGGACATGGATTTATTGTTCAGCTTAAGCACAAGAAACAATACTGCATCCAAAAAAGTTCCTCTCCCACCCTGGCTTGCAGCTTTCCCGGGCTTTTCCCTTGCCTTTCCCAGCACAGAGGACCACACACCCTTTGGTGCTGGTTCTTTCTTCCACATATCAGCAGCTCCTATCTCCACCCCTCGTGCTGCATGGGACCCTGCCTGCCCTTCAGGGTGCCACAGCCTGGGCCAGCTCACCCTGCTCCCAAAGCCTGCACCCAAACCTGCTTTTTTGTACATTTTTTTCTAGATCGATCCCTTTCCCTCTGGGACAGGGGGTGGGAATGTGCCTCTTGATCCTGCAGCAGATGTTATGCACGGGAAGGTTGTGCATGAGGCATGTGATAGGAGTGTACTCCACCTCACTGGCACCCTGCATGCTGCCAGTGAGGATGGTTTGCTGACAGAAGGCCATCGCATTCCCAGCTGACCTCCACAAAGCTGTCTCAGTGTGGGTATAAGGCAGGATCCCTGGCTGGACCGGTTTGAGGTGTCCATCCCCATCTCCTTCTTGAGAATGAGGCGTGTTTTAGCCTTTAGCAAGCTCGTATGAACTCGATAAAAATACAGGGCGGCTTCCTCCCGTTCCCACTGACAAAACCCGAACTGCACAGCGGGAGGTGGAGTAAAACTACCCAAACTTGGCAGGAACGCGGAGGGAGAGGGTCCGCACCACACAGCCACGAGAGGGCACGAGAAGCAAAGCTAAGACCCTTCTTCAAAAGGGCTCCCCTCGGGGCTGAGGATTTATGAATGACCGGTCTTCTTTCTCAGAGCAGCTGAGCTTCTCCTTGTGGATGTGGATTTCTGTGTTCCCAGGCTGGCACCTACAGCTGAAGGGACACCTCAGTTCTTGGTGCCCGAAGGAGGACAGCCCCATGATGGGCATTCCTGGCTAATGTTTCCTGCATCCCCCGTCCCTGGGTAACTTTTCCAGTCCCTCTGTGCCTCATCCTTACCTGGGAAGCGTGGCAAGAGGAACGAGTTAAAAGGTGAATCACCTGCCCTCTATGGCAGTAACTGCACAGGGCAGATGGACTCTTGAGAGTGGGAAGTGCTTGGGTTTCAGGGCTTATTGTTAAACATTCACCAGTGCAAAGGAAAGAGAATTTGTCCTGTTTTGCAGCAAAGCCTGGCTCTGTACTTGCTGTTTACAGTCAGAGTCCATGGGATGTCCCTCTTGCCCTTCCTGAAATGTCTAAAAAAATCATCTTCAGTTGCTCTGCGTTGCAATGGGACATCACCAGCTTGTTCTAGGGCTGGGTTGTGTTATTTGTCACAACAGGGAGCAAGTGGGACAATGGGAAGAAGTTGAAGAAAACCCTTCACTGGGTCTGGGGGCATGGAAGGAATTATGAGAGGCTGTGCAAAATGGCTATTTCACCCCAAGGCAGGACCACCCCACCCTAAACCAGCCCTGATAGTACCTCCATTAGACTGGGAGTGGGGTTAATAGTCCTTGTAGGAAGGGATGGGAAAAAAAAATTAGAGGAAAAAAAATTGTACCTGGAAAATAATAATGTGGGTCACTGCTTGGTCAGAGGGAAAAACAGAGATGTGAAGAGATCCCTGCCTGGGAGCATTCAGCTGCTTTCTCTGCCTGGCTCTGGTGTTGCCCTGTGACAGCAACAGGATTCTGGCTTGCACAAGGACCACTGTGTCCTATGATACCCTTGATACCCTTCCCTAATTTCAGTCAGTTCTTGTTCCTGCTGCCTCAGAAAGGTTTACTGACAGTGAGACATATGAGGTGAGAAGTCAGCTTGAGGCTAACACTGGAAAATAATTTGTGGAGGGAAAGAAAGTACATATTTGGTCAGGTTTACATGCCAGGTCTTGAACCAGCAGAACTGTTTTGGCAAGAAGCATGATTCTGTTTGACTGAAATAGTTATGAATCCAACTTCAAGGCTGATTGCATCTTTATGACCTGAAATTACTTTATAGCTGTAATTTATTCTCCCTTTCCTGGAGGAAAGGAATAACTCTGGCAAGGGCTCATCTTGCTGTAACTAACACCCAGAGGGTGATCAAAGAACAGTTATTCAGTCTGACAAAACAGGAGCTTGAGGGGCTCACAAAAACCTGTCAAGTGGCGTGTTCAACACCGTCAGAGAGGCACTTTGTGTACTAAAGTTATGGACTGCCTTGGGTGGGTCCTGTGGGCACTGATGTGAGTTCAACATGTGGGCAAGTTCATAGGATTTGATGTACAGAGACCCCACCACCTGTTTTGGGTAGCCTTGAGCCCCGAACTGCTGGAAGAGGGATTTGACCCCAGCACTGGGTCAGGGCAGAGCTGCCTCTTTCTTACACTCTTTGAGGCGTGATCAGAGATAGGGTATTGGACTAGGCTGACTTTTGGTGTGACCATATACACCCATGGGACGTGTGTCTATGACTGTGTCTATCCCAGCTGCTTTGCCAGCGCTTCAGGGTTGGGTTTTCCCTGCACTTTTGACACACTGAAGGCACATGGCATAGAGACTGAGCCTTTGAAGGTCAGAGTCTTCACCCAGAAGTGGCCTGCAAGCCAGACAGTACATCTGAAAAACCATGCCCAGGTCTGGCATCCTTTTTTTTCACCTGGTTGAAGGTTTAGACACCACTCACACTTGGAAAGCTACAGCCCTTCAGAATGACTTCATGGTTCCTGTGCAATACAAACATAGCAGCAAGGCTCTGATGCAGTGAGGACTCCTCCTTTCAAACCGGTCTCTGTTCTTCTAAAAAGCTTATAGAATAAAATTATTATAACATTTGAATTCAAGAGATGGGTTTATGTGCTCTTCATAAACACTGTCGGAAAGGGTTTTCAGAGCCACAGGGATAAAAGGTAAAATTGCCTTTATTCAACTTAGTATAAAACAGGAAGAGGTAGAATGAATCATTTCTAACATGCTAACCGTTTCATAACCCTGTCCATTAGATGTTTCTGATGTCTCTGAACTGAGCCCAGGTCTTGCCATTTAAACACATCTTTCAGACCACAACACTTTATCCAATATGATGGCTCAAATCAGGCATCTATTCAGTTATTTATTTCTCATATATATCCTTATTTCTTCTTCCAAAAGTGCTATGCAATGCCTCAGAAAAGCTTGTGCATGTCAGTTCCTGGAAGAAATATGATTTTTTGCAAGCAGCAAAATCCAAACAGAGCCAACAAGCTCCACCGTGCCCCTCCTCTGCATTTTTGTGAAAGCACCTTAAAAACACATTGCAAAGCAAGTGCACTTCTCAGGTTGTTACCACAACCCAGCTGCAAATTGAGGAGCAAATTTCTTACCATTAATATTCAGGCTTTGTGCAACTTTGAGTCTTGAGTTCTAAAAGGTCATATCTCAGCAAAAGGTAGGAAAAATTTTATTTCCACGGGATTTTCTTTAGAATAACTATCAACTCTCTGATGAAGAATTCAACTCTTATATGTTATGGCAATAGTTTTTCTATTAGAGAACTATTTTTTTTCATTTTTTGTGTGTTCAGAATCTGCTGTTAATGACTCCATTTTCTGTGCATCCCCTCCAGCACGTGGTGGTGGTAGTTCTTCTTCTGGAATGAACTGAACAGGCCAGCATCTTCTTTGTTGGCTTGCTCCATTGTCCTTACTCACCTTTCCAATTTGCTGGAGATCCTTGACAATTATTTTTTCAGTATCTTCTAGTACCGTTGTCAATAAATTAAACAGCAGAGCAATCCAGGCAAGGCCAAAAAGAATCCAAATGGCCACCAGCACTCGATAGTAGGAAAAGTAATTCCTGCCAGACTGTTTGCCTGAAGATAAGGGGAGAGAAAGAAGAAGAAAATTAACAAGTTAAAATTCACCTTGCCAAAGGAAAGTGGAACAGTTTAATGAATTCATCAATATATTTTACACTGAGAACTTCAGGGTGACTTTTTCATTGTAATGGAGACTCTCACCTCTCCAGCATTTGATTAAGGCTGAGCAATGGTTTATTGTGTTTATTGTTGCAGTAAACTGATATATGCTAGCACAAATATGCTGGCCTGTCAAAAGACACACTGGGATTGAAGTGAATCATTCCATGGTTCTATGATTCTGTGATTGAGGTGAATTAGCATGAGAGCAGGATATTTTTTTCCCCTTATAGCATATCACTCCTGGTTCAACTGCTGCATTTACAGGTAAATGCAATTATGTGGGAAGTAGTGTTAAATTGTACTTATTATCTTGGAAATATTCCCAAACTCCCAAAGCATAAAAAGCAGAGCACAGTGGGCTGCTATAATCACACAACCATTACTACCTGGGTTATTGTAATTCTCTGTATTTCTAGCAGAGTGTGATTACAACCTAGTAAATATTTCCTTTAAATTATAGGTACCTGTGTTCATACAAAGAGAGTATTTGCAATTCCTACCTTACTTTTCAATGGTTTCAGGAGCTTCCTCCATTAAAAAAACTAGGTGACTGATGAGAATTCATTGACACATGCCAAGAACACAACTTTCTGCACTGGAAACCAGTGAACCAAAGCTCATTTCATGCAGTCCAACCCTCTTAGCATCAGCCAGTATCTCACACTCGCTGTTCTGTGTGGGTCATTTAGTCTGATCTTTCATATGTCAGCAATCTACCCCCAACACACAACAAAGCATTTGCTCCTACTGAACTTGGTCCCACACAACATTATCATCATGATACAGATGACGTGGCACTGGCATCTGCAGGAAAACTTGGTGATATTGCTTATTGAGTGCTCCAAGTCACTGCCAGGGGGGACTCCACGTAGTTGATAACACAGCCATGTCCATGGACAGGGAGATCACCACAAACCTGGTGGATCACTTCCCTTTGAGAACCTGCATGGAAGGAGTCAGGATGCTGGCAACTTCTGTCAAATCCTGCAGTGCTCTGAACTGCACAGGTTAATGTGCAAGATTTTTGTTCTTCGTCATGCAGGAGCTCTGGAAATGGGATAGGACTGGGCAGGTCTGTCCTCATGGATAGATATCCAACAGCTGTTTCTTTTTCTTCTGCTGGAGTTGAGTTGGCAGAGACATTCTCAGCCTTGGTACAAAGCATCTCCTTGTGCTCTTATCCAAAGTTCAAGATGTGGGGTTAGCAAAGCAACTGGCAATAACTTTATAATGTTAACTCAAAACTGGACTTGAGCAGGGCACATATTTGGTTAACAGCCCACAGGGAGTTTCACCCTAGAGGTATCACCTATATGCACATGTATTCCAAACAGTTAAATCCAGGCTCTGCCACCTTCCTAGCGTGTCTCCCTACCCAAAACAGTTAGCTTAGCTACAAAACAGTTTTGAATTACTAAAATGCAAATAAACTCAAACCTGTTCTGTTCCTCTTGGCCAGCACAAAACCACTTGTCATCTGTAAGCAATGCCTGACACTCAGAGCAGTCACTGATTCTGCTTGCCTCACTGTGAAGATGTGAAGCATTAAACCTATCACCATTTTATTACTGTTGTTAAGGCAAATTAAGATAAATACTGGCAGGGAAAAATATTTCAGCTCCAGTTAAGTCATCCTAATGAAGGTGAAATCATAAAGCCAGGAGGCCTATCTAATTGTTATTTTTAAATAACAATTAAAAAAATTAAAATACAATTAATTGCATTTGTAAAGTAATATGGCTGCAGAGGAGGAAAGTGACAGCACAACAAGAGGTTGTGGTGGATTTCTGTCCCTCAGAAAGGAACATGAGGCTTCCAGATTCTTTGTAGGGTCAGCACAGTATTAGCTACACAGCTTCCTTTGCATATCCCCACTGAGGAGAAGTTCAGGCTGGCAAGATGCTGGCAGGACAGGTGGTTGTAGAGAAATCTTTGATTCTCCATGGAGTCCAGGTGTTTGCTTGCTTCTTCTGTGGACACTGATTTGGCCCCTGGTGAACATTTTGGACTTCCTCTGGAAATTCCTTGGAGTGTATTTTGGTCAGCAGATCCACGGAAGCGTTTTGAGAAGCATTCTGGAATGCCTGAACGTATCTTAAACAGTTTTTCTTCAGGGGAAGTCCTAAGCTCTGGTTTGTGAAGACAGAGAACCTTCAGAGATGCTCAGGAGATCAAAGAAGGCCACTTTTGCAGTGATACATATCTTTAGGCCAACTTCTCAAAGAGTGAGTAGATTTCTTCGCTTTCCCATGACTGGGATTTCCACCTCTCTGTCTGTTGTGTAAAATCATGTATTCTGAAACATGATCACTTATTTCTTTACTCTACACTTTGAAACATAAGTCTTAGATAGCTAAAGCAGTGATATGTGCCTTGTTTTGTATGACTGTCCCTAACTGTTCCCTTTTGGTGTGTACAAATTGCCAAGCTCATTGAATTCTCCCCTTACACTTCTCTTTTCCTCACCAAAATACTTGTCTTCTTTGCATCCCAAAGCACCTCATTTAATTATATTTGTCAGCACATAAAATCCCTGAGAAAAGAGTATTTCCCCCAGAACTGTATAAGACTAGTCAAAGACTCCTGTTGACAGATTTGTCTCTACAGCACACTGGTGGCCTGTGCAGTCAACCCATGGGAATCACAGTCATAAACCTGCTGTTTTGATGTGTCTCCTCTCTGCAGTCAACCTTACCTACTACATAATCTCCAAAGCCAATGGTGCTGAGGGTGATAAATGCAAAGTAAATTCCTTCGCTGTAGGACCAGCCCTCTGTTATCTGGAAGAAGACTGATGGCAAGCACAGAAAAACTAGGATCCCCGTTGCCAGGAAGAACAAAAGGGTCAGAAATTTGATCTTCTTCTGAAAAATAAACCAGTTCAATTATAATCATGATTTGACACGCTAGTAGGCCATATATAGTGGTGCCTGTTCAAAGTGGGTGGCTATCTAGGACCACAGGGACAGAAGGATTTCTACTGAGTGCTTTTCCTCTGGAAGCACCCCAGCCTTGCTTGGGAGCAGGGGGAAGCCATGTGTTATGGGTGTTGCATGTCCACAGTAGCCCTGGAAGATGTAGTCTTTTATGTGATTGTATCAATGACCACGAGTATAGGAGGAATTCCTATCCAATGACTTTTTCTGGAGTCAGACTATTTCCACTTATCACTAGACTACATCATTTTTAATTTTTAGGTATTCAGGGTTACCACCTAAAGACATTTATATTTGCCTGGGAAAACGGACTTTTTTACAAAAAATATTTGCACCATTTCTGACAGTATTATCTTCAAGAGTTTTGATTATTGACTTTATTTCTCATTGCATCAGTGCCACAACTCTTCTCCTACCCAGTGAATATCTTACTACAAGGAAACCTTTAACTAATGAGGTCCTGATAAAGAAGTGCCTGGACAGTGACTTTTGAACCATTCTACTTCCCAGTAGTCATGAAGAAGCCTTGACTGGAGAAAAAGACTTGTTATATGTTAAGATTTATCAGCCAGACATGCATATATTTCATGTATAGATTTTTATTAGTCCAGATTGCCTGAAAATCAATGGCAACTGTTGGATAATTTTCCATGTCCTCATGCATTGTGCACTTGTTTGTGTCTCTATCTGAGCAAGCCCTAATTTCTATATAAGTTTGTCAGATATGGCAAGAAATTCAGCAATCTGAACAGGGTTATCTGTAGCATTCATCCCTTATCCTGAAAGAGAACAGTAGGAGACACAGAAAAGCTATTCTCACTTCCTCAGCAGTGGTGAGAGAAAGGGAGGAGCTGCAAATAACTTGGGACACACACCAGTCAAGACACATCCTGTCTCTAGCCCTTTACAGGTGTCTCCTCACCTTTCAGCAGCTGGGCTCAAATGAACAGCTTCGGTCTGATGCTTCCTTATTCCCAAAGTCAAGGGTGGAGAGGGAGTAAAGGACTGTGTAATGAGTTAGGAGCAGTGACATGCTATTCATTGAGTCAATATTCATTAAAACCTCTGCAGCTCACCTGCTTTTAACAGCTTTTCACAGCTCACCTGCTTTTTGCTGCCTCACGATGAGATGTTTAATCATCTTTACTGGTTATAAAGGGAGGCATGTACTTCCCTAGAGTGTTAGGTCCCGAGGTAAGTGTCTGGAGAAGTGGGATGGGATGCCCACTCTCTCCACTGATTGCTGAAGGGGGGTGGATGTCTGCATTTAGATGGGAAGATAAAATGCATCCCTTTCTCTGAATATCTCTACAGTTGCCATGTCTGCTTGGCTCCATGAGTGAAGAATTTGTCTCTCCCTCTCCTAGCACGTCTAATATAGCATGAGAACAGATAAATTAGAGGATAAGGCAGCATAAAACTTGAGAAAAAGAAAAACTAGAATTGAGCATATAACTGTGCCTGAGTAAGTAGAAACAATTACCTTTCTCATTCCTTTCTCGTACAGGAATTTCCCCAGCTTTTTACACAGCAGTGAGAGCATCTTACCAACACGGTGCAGAAAAACAATGTTGAGAGGGATTCCAAACAGAGCAAAAAACACACAGAAGATCTGTCCCCCAACAGTTCTAGGATGTAACGTGCCATAGCCTATGAAAAAAAGATTGGTTAGAGAAGATATTCCAGAGTACTGGAACAGTCCACAGTCACATTCAACCCTACCCCCAATCCAGTCTGCCTGTGACCCCAAAAGATGTGGTTAGCACTTCTCAGGACATGTGAATTCTTTTTTTCTCTTAAAAAGGCAGTAAGCAGATGAAGTGATTCACCCTGCATGTTTGGGGTGATGCAGAGAGCACTGTGTGCTCCCAACACAGACTTAGTGGGAACAAAAGTTCAGTCTAGAAGCAGTTGTGGGTAATGTGCTCTGTCCTGCAACAAATACATGGAAAGACAGAAAACAGAAGTCTGAGGATCTGGAAGACATCAAGGCTGGAGTCCCAGGCTGTTAGAATCACATGCAGCCATTTCTAGCTTCTTGTTGATCTGCCTGTGTGTTAGTGACCTCTCTGGCTAAATCCCAGTAAGCTGGTGTGTCCAGATACTGGCTCCAGTCCCAGGGAGCTCAGTGTGCATTGGAATAGATGGTGCTAATTAGTCCAGATCCCACTGGTGGTTGATGTCTTCAAGCCACAGAGATATTTGTCTTAAAGTCCTACTAAAAGAGGATTTAATTTATCTCAGTAGTGGAACAACTCCAAACATGTCTTTTAATGATCTGGAGACTCTTAGACACCATGAGATACATCCCTGAGTGCAAGAGTACTGCCCTTTGTGTTTGTCCTTACTCTACCAATGACCCTGGGAAAAGGCATTTCCCAAGCACAGTTCATCTCAAGGCATGCATTACTTGGAAAATGCAATCTTTTCTTTTGGGGGAAAAGACAAATAAAACAACTGAGTGATTTTTTTTGTCTACAAGATCCCAAATGCATGAGTTGTGTTGTGTTCCTGTTGCAGAAATATTCCATTTTCACGGAAAAAAAAGCTGGTGAAGAGAAGTACCTGACGTGCCTTCACAACAGACCTTTGTGGTGAAGGTGCAGAGAAACAGGCACTGGTTTTGGCTGGGATAGAGTTAATTTTCTTCCCATCGGCTGGTATGGGGCTGTGCTTTGGATTTGTGCCAGAAACAGTGTTGCTAATTAAGCGATGTTTTGGTTATTGCTGAGCAGGGCTTGCACAGAGTCAAGGCCTTTTCTGCTCTTCACCCCACCCCACCAACGAGGAGGCTGGAAGTAAACAAGGAGCTGGGAGGGGACACAGCCGGGACAGGTGACCCCACCTCACCAAAGGGACATTCCAGACCATCTGGTGTAATGCTCAGCATATAAAGCTGGGGGAAGAAGAAGGAAGTGGGACACGTTCAGAGTGATGGCTTTTCCTGTGCCACTCATGGGCAGGCTGGAACTCCAGTGAACCTGAGTTCACAGACAAAGGGAGTGTGGATGGGTCCAGGTGGGAGCAGGGCACCCTAAAACATCTGTGGCTCTGGATAAGCCTGTGACAGAGCAGGTCCTTCTTAAAAGGCCTGTGGTTATGTCTGTGCCACAGCAGGTACACCTCTGAAGGGATTGTGGCCCAAGAATGAGTCCACACTGCAGCAGGTACACTGGATCATCCGTAGCTGTGGATAAGTCCACGCTGGAGCAGCTCAAAGCATGTGTCCATGGATAAACCCATGACAGAACAGGCACACCCCTGGAGGGACTGTAGCCAGGTGTAAGGTTATGTTGGAGCAGGTTCACATCTGAAGGGACCGTGGCTGTGGGTAAGGCCATGCCGAGCTGGTACAGCTCTGAAAGTGTTGAGGCCCATGGATAAGGCCATGCTGGAGCAGGTGCACCTCGAAGTGACTATGGCTGTGGATAAGTGTATGCTGCAGCAGGTACAGCTCTGGAGAGACTGTGGCTCACGGATAAGGCTCCGCTTGGAGCAGGTACAACCAACCCTAAGGGACCACAGTCTGTGGATAAATCCAAGCTGGAGCAGAGGCAAAAGGAAGAGTTCATTGCAATGTTAAACCATATGACCTGGCTCAAAGGGACCAGGGCGGAGATTGTAAAGGAAATATATTGTAACCTGAGACCTGAGTTGCATGTTATGGGAATTACTACAGCAGGAGCCACCGGAACCAGTGGAGAAGGCTTGCAAGAAGCAGTGCAAGTGCAGCAGTGACCCAACCTGAGCTGCCTTTGGTGATCAGTAACTCCACCTCACACAGCTCCCCTCCTGTCCTGAGTGACCACCACAACAGATTGAGCCCAAAGTCATGGCCTAAATGAACTCACTGGGCATTTTGTGGACATCTCTGGACCTTTATGGACATTTTACAGACATTTTACAGGGGTAATCCATAGACTAAGGGAATGATATCTGTGTATTATATCTAAGGATGGGAAGAATGGTGGTGAGTATTGAAAATGTGTTGGACAGTGTGAGACTTGGGCATGATGTAAATGGTACACGAAATGAGGGGTGGGTGTGCTTATTTTGGCTGGGGTACTTAATTTTCTTCTTTGGATTTGTGCTGAAAACAGTGTTTCCAATTGAGAGATGTTTTAGTTCTTGCTTTGCGGCACTTGCACAGAGCCAAGGACTTTCCTGCCTTTTCTCTACAGCAGGAGATCTCCACATGGGTTCATGCAAAACACCTCCCCTGATGCTGGGACAACATTTGGGCCTTTGTAATATGTAACACTCATGGATCAGTGGAGCAGCTGTGCTTAGGGTGTAGTGGGAGGGAGGCCTCAGCTTCACTCTGCAAAAACATAGATTTGACTTCCACTTCATTAGAGTGTGAAGCAGGTGCCAACAGTATGGATTTTGTGCTTAAGCTTGGCAGGCCTGCACTTTTTGGGATGCATATTTGAGAGAAAGGGAGAAGCAGGTAGGAGCAGGCGGGCCCTGAAAAGGTCAGAACAGCTTGAAGCAGCAGCATAAAGGTCTCAGTATTTGCCTTTCACTCTTACCATTTTTTTCCTTCTGGCATATTACTAATTCAATATGTGAATTAACAGCTCAAGACAGGTTATTGAGACAGTGCCCATGCCCCAGAAGGGCTCACTTACTTCCTACCATTTTTTTATCCTTTACAGCACTCTCAGATTTAAAGCCTATTTGACCCTGGAGTAAAGACCAGGAAAGTGATCTCCCCCACACAACTGTCAGCAGAACAAACATTTTAACAGATGGCTTGAAAAGAAGAAACAAGTGGGAAATAATATGAAAGGCTACTGCTATTGGACAAGCCAAAATAATGCACAAAGAGCTGTGCCATGGTAAGGACTAAGTCCATGGCTGCTTACTGTCAGTGACAATGAAGGGCTGGAGTTTTTATCCTGGAAAGTATTATCCATTCATGTCCTAATAACCAGAGGTAATAAGCATCATTCACGCATGAAGCACACACAAACGAAAAGCATTAGACCTACCTATTGTGGAGACAACTGTGCCTGCAAAGAAGAAGGAGTTACTGAAATCCCAGTTGCTCTCTTCAAACCGTGATTCATTTCCAACAGGGTATACTCCATTTTGAATGGCTTCAGTCAGGTTCTGGGAGAGAAGGCAAAGTTTGGTAACATCATGACTGCTTTTCTGAAGTGCATGATGCAACAATACTGCAGGTATATCCAACTACTGCTCCTTTCCTGTGAGTACCACTCACCTGACTGTGGTGATCCTCTACACTACTCACACCTTCACCTCCAAGGTTGGGTAGCAGTTAGTTGGTGGTTTTCAGTGTTCATCTTCTGCCCCGTTTATGCTGATTGCCTTAGTGGGTGTTACGAGAACTTTTAGTGCTTTTTCTTTCAGTGGGATCAAGGACCTTGATTCTTTTAGTCTGAGTACTTTGGGAAAAAATGATCCTATAGATGGCTAGGATGTGGCAGAGCTAGACTAAGGGATGGGATGGCTGGTTGCTAGATTTGGATTCACCCTTGAGGTGGCACTGGTGGATCCAGGATCTGATCACCCACCTGTGCACAGGCACACTGAGCAGTGACTCTGATCTGTGCCATGGGTGCATCGGGGAGTTGTGGCAGGGCACACATGGCATACACCCAGAATTTAATTTTAGGACTGTATTCTGGTTAGTGTCACAGAATTACCTTCAAAGAAAGTCCACTGATTTGCAAAGCTGGACATATACACTCTTCTCCAAACTGCATGTATGAACACACATGCACATATTTACAAAGTGGCCTCTGAGATGAGGTTAGAGGAACATCTGTCAGAGATGGTTTGGAGTGAGTTGAGACTGCCCTGCCATAAGGGGCTTGACTACCCAAGCCTCTCAAGCCCTGTCATCTATCACTTTAAGCATTTTCAGACTCTTCTTTCCCTTTGTTTTAATTCTAAGTGCTGTTAATGTATTTAAGTTAAAAAAAATAATAATAATTAAAATTGCCTTTAGCAAACAGAGAGGATCGGACTGGACATCTGTAAGGCAGGTTGGTTTGTAAAGAAACAATTGAGTTAAAATCCAAGACAGAGCCCTGCCATAGGCAACACACAAGCTGGAATAAATTGCACCAGCAAAGTCTTCCTCCCTGCTTCCTCCCTCACTATCCTTTTTGCTGGTGTTACAGAAAATCAGGGCTAACAAAAATCATTCCATAGCCCTTGCACAAAGATTTCTTTGTCTTGAAAAGCTCATTTTTTTTTTTCTCCTCTCATACACATAAAACCCAATCAAGGTGAAGAGAGTGCATGTGTAGGTGAAAAGGGGGCTGAGTTGCTGGTTGTGTTATTAGAAATACCAGTTCTTCACCACCTTTCATTATTTTGCAAACAAGCCCATTAAGAGCTCCATTCCTTTCCCATGTGGAAATGCTTCACACAGGGCTTTCATTCCTCATTTTCTCTATCTTGTAGCAGATAGAGCTAGGAAATACTGATGATGGAGAGACAACTGTACTTCTCAGCTCCCTGTGCTGTGATCAGAAACACTTTCCCTCTGACCAGACCACCTGTTTCACTTCTACACCATCTTCAGAAGGTAAGCCCTGACCATGCCACTCTCCTGGTAGTAATTTGGGCTTCTTTTTTTCCCCCCCATTCAGACCTTGCCTTATTGTTCCTTGGTGCTACCAGTGACAGTGTTGTAAGTGGAAGCCACAGCCATTCATTTCAGACAGCCTTATTTTTCCTGCCATTCCACCCATTGTGTATGAGCACGGCCACACTGAGAGCTGAATCAACAGGAGGCAAGAACCCCCCCACCAAAAAAAAGGACATTGCAGGATGGGGACTGTTAATAGCTACCACACACAAAGTTTTGTCCAGCTACACGAGCTGTATTTACCTTCAGAGTGACCCTCTCAGATGGGAGAGGGGTTTGCTAAAAGCATCCAAGTGACCGCATCAGGAGAGCAGTGAAAGTCAACCTGTGTAGCAAGGCTAAGTAGGAAACAACACCTAATGAGGAAAGAGCAGGGAGAAAGGACTTCCACAGGGCTCCACTTACCTTCATGAACTGCTCCATCTCCACCACCGTGAGCTGCCTGAAGCTCTGCAGAAAAGCCTCCTTCATCTGGGCAGCTGCCATTTTCTCCTGCTTCTCCGCGGTCCTCTCCAGTGCCTGGAACACCGCGGCACCCACCAGCAGGTACACAAAGTAGCCAGCCACCAGCAAACCTGTCTGCAGCTTGCCTCTGCACATGGCCTTCAGTGGGACACAGAGAGGGATGAGGGAGTGAAAGGTGGCGATTAGTAAATCCCTTGCACTCCTGGGAAGGCCTCCCCCCCGGGCAGGAAGAGCCCTCCCAGCTCTGGCTTCCGCTGGGATCCTGTGCTGACAGGGACAGCGAGCTGCCAAATACATTCATTGGGAAGTTGGGTAAAAAAAAAAAACAAAACACAACGAACCCAAGAAAAAACTTTCCACTCTCTGGGCTGCATGCTGTTTAGGGATTTCCTCTTGTCTGTGAAACTCTCCCTTGCTGATTTCTCAGGAAGAGTGGGTCAGGATGCAAGGAGCTGGCGGGTGGCCATCTCCTGCTCAAGAGGCTCTGGGGACAGGTGAGGATAGTCTGTAAATGGTCCACAGGGGAGTTTGCTTGGAAAAACATGATTTACACTCCTGTGTCTCCTGCTGAGTCCAGGAACTGGACTCCAGGGCAAGCCTCGATGAACCCAGAAGCCACTTCTTGCCCTGTGTTCAAGGGCAGCTTCAGGGAAATGCAGCTGGACTGTTCTTGTCCACTTGGACTTACTTGGACTTGCTTGTCCACTTCTAAGTGTCAGAGCTTGTTCCCATCAGAACTTGGGTACCATTGAGAAGAATTTGTAGGGTGGCAGAGGGAAGTCCTTGAATGAAGATATTGACTTGGGAACAGATAGCACCATGGACATTGTTAACCCTCAGATTAACCTTCTCGACTTTAGATTTTCCAGAATTTTCATTTGCTTTGTGCACAATTTCTTTGTTATTTCAGCAGATACTCTACTTTAATAATGAGAAAACACTGTAGCAAATCACCCTTTGAAGAAGCATTTAAAATGTTCCATATATCTTCTCTTCAAGTCTTTGTGTTTTTATTGAGTTCAAAAATACCAGAAAAGGCAGAGGCTCTGGGATTAGTTTTGCAAAACTGGTGTAACCAAGAAGCAGCACATAGCTTCACTCTGTCAAGTGCAGGTTGTCCTTTCACACATAAATCTGTTTGACCTCAGAGGAAAACAGGAAGACTATGAATGAAGGTGAGTATCTTTCCAAACACTTAAACCTTTAAAGACTTTCCTTAGAGTTACTGGAAAAGGGTTTGTAGAAACAGGATGTGTCGTTTTTCCTTTCACTTCTTTTGAAGTTACGACAAAGGTGTGCTTCTTGCTCAGATTTAAATTATTTCTATAAAAATAAAGGCACCTATGGTTCACCATTTTGTGTCTCTCAGACTCCCAGACCTGTGAGATAAGAGAACTCCCTTCACATATACAAATGCACCATTTCTTCATCTGCACAACAGACAGGAAGATAACACAAGTGGGTTATTTCCTCAGTTCATCTGAAGGGAAAATGGATGAAAAAGCCATGAAAGTCATGGAAGATTGTGAGAATTTGATATTGATTGCAGTTGTAGTGGTTCGATCAGGTGGGTAAGTGCCAAGAAACCTCACCTTTTTCATGCTCTCTCCTCTGAACTGTGTACTGAGCTGGATTTCCCTCTAGTCCCATCTCTGAGATAGCAGGTTTGCTATTTGTGCATGCATCTTCAGGAGCCCTTGACTGCCAGGAAGATTGGTGACCTTTGTTTTTCTGTAGCTCTAGAACAGGCAATACACATCACCTTATTCCAGTCTGTGTCTTCGTATGAAGAATCTTCAATAACCTGCCTGCGAATCTGCAAAAACCACTACAGATTGTTCTGATGTGAGAGGTGTGTCCCATTACACAGCATTTTGTTCATACTTGGGTTGACACTTGCACAGGGAAAGAGGGAGGGAAAGCACAGTTCATTACTGTTGCTTTGGAGAAGACAAAGAAGAGGGAACTCATGTTCACTCAGTGGAATTCTTCACCTGAAGCCATTCCTCATAAAAGGAAGAATAATTTCTGTTAGTGGTGACTACTCTTCTGCTTACTTTGCCTAGATTAAAAACTACAAAACGTGCTCTTGGTGGAGGCTGCAAGAGCTGTGCCACTTGTAGTTATTGAATGTCACTGGGTTGAGACAGTGCACCATCATCCATCCCACCCCAGGGGTCTGGATACTGGGTTAGCCTGACACCATTCACCCCAGTTATGGAAACTGAGCACTTTCCAAGTGCTGGGAGCTGTTGTAGGTACAACATCCTCATCTGAGGGCTGATGCTGGCACCTTGCACCTGCTTCATAAGCAGAGTGATAACTTGTTTAGAGAGCTGGGAAGGTAAATGGGGAGAGTGTATCTGGTGAACCAGCCACCATTACCTTTTTGCACTGTGAGATCATGAATACATCCCACCTAGATGCAAGTTATCAAAGAAATCATGAAAGTCATAGAATGGTTTGGGTTGGAAGGGACCTTAAAGATCATCTGGTTCCAAACCCCCTGCTCTGGGCAGGGGGGCCATCGACTACATCAGGTGGGTCCATGCTCAGGGCCCCATCCAACCAGGCCTTGAACACTGCCAGGGAAGTTAGTACAACCCTACTAGTTAATCAAAGCAAATCACTGGTGGGAGCAGCTTTTATCTCATGTTCCCCAATACCTCGGGCCATGTGGGCCGACAGGCCTATTCAATGGCACTTGTTTCTCAAGAAGGAGCTGAAGAAGTGGATGTAAGGCCTAATCACTGTGACTTTTAGTTGTGGGAAACCAACAAATCCAGCTACCAATTGGAACACTTTTCCACAACCCATAAATTGACAGGAGGACTTCTGCTGGCCCAATTCCCTTGAGATGCCTCACTGCCACCTGTCCTGTAGCTTGTAGTTACAGCAACAACAGGACCTTTTGGGCTGCCTGATGCTGTGGTGGGTTGGGGTGCAGTTTCCCAGCAAGGACTACCATGGCAGCAGGATGTGGCTGTCATGGCCCTGCAAACCCTTGTGCCCAGGTGCAGTGAGGGCTGGCAGCTCCCTCAGGCCCGGGAGCTGGGAACTGAGTGTGCTGACACCACAGTCTGTCTGTCCCACTGTCCCCATCCACGGAGCAGGGCAGACCTGGACACCCTCGGCAGGTTCAATCACCTCTGCAGGGTGATCATGGGTCATGTTCATGGTGATGAGACAGGATGAGTTCAGGCTGGGAAGTCATCCTGTAGCTCAGAGTCACGTGCAGGAATGGCCAGGCAGGGCTTAGGGAGCAAGCCAGGCAGGGCTGTTGTTCTGCTCGTGGGCTTGGCTCACTGGGGCCATGGCTGGGCTGGGAAAGGCTGGGGGAAGGTGGAAATGGACAACCTGCAGTGCTGCTGGAACAGGGACTGATAGCTCTGGTGTGGGCTGGAGGTGAATCCTGGGCCATGGAGGGTGGAAGGGAAGCTCTGGGGGCTGGGTGGCCTTGGCAATCATGGATGCTGTGTGGCTAGTAAGGCAGTTAATCAATACTTTTTGTTCCTGAGCTAGGAGGGATCCATGGCACAGTTAATGGACAAGGGAAGGATAATAAAATCCTCTAACACTGCATTTTTAGTCTTAGAAAGCCAGACATTACTTTATTCACAGTGCTGGGGGGTGTGTGTGACTGACAGAATCCCAGCCTCCACACAGACACTGATGCAATGCTTTTTCACCTATTTATACACTTTTAGCAAACAAAGAAATAATGTTCATTGGTTCTAAACTATACAATTCCTTTTCATTAATTAGTCTTCTATCCTCTATAGGTTATTAATTTCTCACTGTTCATGGTAATTAGGTTCATATTTTTAGTATCTTTTTCCCTCGGAAGGGATTTTCCAACATATATACTGAGTTTTTGTTAGCCTCTCCTTTATCTTCTGGTTTCTGTAAAATATCCTTGTGGTCCATAAATTCTGCACTCCTTGTATCCAATTTCAACAATACATCTCTCTCTTCCCAGGCTTTGCTCATTGAAGACTATCAATGTCAGTTTATCAAAAGCTAAAGTTTCAGTAATTGTCCCAATTTTCTCACAATGTCAGTTTATGTTAAATTCTGCTGAATGCCAGCTAAAAGTCGTTTAAGGCCCCACACACTACTTATTAACAACTAATTAAAAGGTTAACTAAAACCATTAAGAAATCGGAAAAGTTATATCAATTCCAATAATTCCACATGCACTATTTACCCAGTCCACTGCAGGGAAACCCACGTAGTGAGATCCGGTGGTAATGGAGGGCAGGGAGCATTTCCTGCCTGTGACATGATGTGCTGGGACAGAGTTTTCTTACATTCAGTCCTGCTCTCACTCCTTTACACTCTAATCATACCCACAGTTTGGCCATTTCCTCTTTCTACATATGGCATTAGCTATCTTGCTGCATCCTTAAGCATTCTGTGTCCTTAAGCAGATTATAGCCTGAAATTAATTCCAGTTTAATGGAAAATGTTATCAGTTTCCATGGAAATTACTTACCATGTGATCGTGGTTGTACTTCCTGTTGTGCTTAGGGCTAAAACCATGATCTGTATTTTTTACACTTTCTTGCAGTTCTCCTATAAATACCTATTACTCATAACTGGTCAGAACATTCAGTCTTCAAATGTGGAATTTTGGTTCCACATTTGGTTCCACTGTGATCTTATGCCAGACTATTAAACACTTAGGCTAAAGCAGTATTCAACAGAGATCCTTATACTTCCTTTTTATTATTTTAGGTCTGCAAAGCCAAATTCCTGCGGATAACTATCTGCTGTCAAGGAAATGGGCTGATATCCATGAGTGAAGAAAATCTTGAAGTTGGTCACTTGCCTTTGCTAGTTGGCTGATACTGAGATAAGAGCTCTGGTGTTCAGGAGGTAAGGGCTGCTGTGCCAGACAGCCCAGCATGGAGAACTACCCAAGTGATCTGTGAGTCCTGGCCCACAGCACTGGCCAGAGTGATCAGCTGAGCACAGGAAGAAGGGAGGGTTATGGTAAAGATATTTTAAGATTTGGGTTTATTTTTCATTATCCCACTCTGATTTGTTTGGTAGAAAATTAAATATGTTTCCCCAAGTTGAGCCAGAGTGATCTCCCTGTCCTTGTCTCAACCCACAAGTCTTTGGTCCTGATTTTCTCTCCCTGTCCAGCCAAGGTCAACACACCACAAGCACTGAGTACTAGTGCCTGCATCCCTCACTAAAGTGAGGCACAGACACTCAACAGAGGAAGCATTTGCTCAAATACACTATTTATTGGCATTTTTGCACTGAGTGAAGCTCCCAGAGAGGCTGGACTCCCTCAAAAAGGGTGTGCAGTCAGTGTAGAGGTTGTAATGGGAGTCTGGTTCCAGGCTCTTTGCCATGGACTCTTCAGCTACCTTGGCTCTGACTTCCAGAGGAAATGTGTTTGCTGTAGAGGAAATGTTCGGCAGAAATTACGACAGCTGATAGAGCACTGTCTTCTCCATGTCCTGCATGCTATGGCCTGTGGGACCTGCTCCCCAGAGAGTCAAGGGTGGGTGGATACTCCTCCCAAACAATAGAGAAGGTAGAGAGGCCCTGCAGCAGTACCTCTCACTTAGACCCACCACAGCCAGATCATCCATTCCACAGAGAATTGTGCCAGCAGAAGAGCTTCTCAAGCTACAACTATAACCCATCTAAAAGCTTCTGATGGAAGCCACACCATTAGTCTTTCAGCTACCTGACCTCCCAGTTCGGTCTGTATTTTGTGGGTGTCACAGATTTGGTTGCCTGAGGCCATTATAAGTCAATGAGCTGGAGTGGAGACCAAGGGCTAGGCTGGTCTGGCTGTGATGTGATGTGGCTCTTGTGACATCACAGGCATTGTGTCACAGTGGGGGCAGCTAGAGATGACCCCAGCAGGTAACGCTGCCCCAGTCGAGCCTGGACAAGTGGTGAGTGCACACACGCAGGGCGAGGTTGCGCTGGGCGAGGGCCGGGGCCGAAACGCTGCCCCTGGGGCTGGGTTCTCCCTCTGCATCCAGGGGCAATCTCTCACCAGAACACCTGGGGCACCGAATGGTGCTGCTACTGCTGGGGCAGTGGGACAGGCCTTGCTGCCTGCCAGCTGCCCTGGGGCCCTCTCCTTCCTGCTCCACATCCCCGCTGCTCCCATTCGTACTCCCCTCACCTCTAGATCCTTCCCTCTCATTCAGCCCCACTCAACCCCTTCTCTCTCCTCCTGCAGGCCATGACTGCAAAAATGTTTCTTCTCGTGCTTTTGCAAACCCTCATCCAGTACCCACAGATGGTGGCTGATGGGCTGGATGAGGTCACCCGTCTGCGCATGGAGCTGCGTGCAGAGCTCCTGGACAGAGAGATGACTCGGCTGCTGCAGGAGCTGGAGCAGAGCAGCCTGGAGCGCAGTGTCAGGGCCTGGGGAGCCCTGCTCTGGGCTGCCTTGCAACAGGGGGACTTCTGGGCTCTGGCTGGAGTCCTGGGCCTCCTCCTGTGGCTGTGGTTTATCTGCAGCAGAAAAAGCCGCCAGCCAGAAAACAATGGCTGGGAGGAGGGGGCAAGAGATGGTGATGGTGGTGGAAATGAAGGGGAAGAAAACCATGACGCAATTGAGTGGGAAGTCAACAACGGTGATGCAATTGAAGGAGAAGACCACGATGTTGCAAATGAAGTAGAAGAAGATGATGTTATTGCCCACAACCTGAGATGGCTTTTAGAGGAGCACATACAGTGGCCTGTTCAGGACCTGGAGGAAGGCAGCGAGATGACAACTTTCCTGATGGACAGCTTTGTGATTATCATTAGAGAGATCGTGACAAACAGTTCATACCCAGTGCCGCAACGAGCCATTGGGGTGGGCAGTGCCTTTGAAGGCTGGAGTCCCCGGGAGGAGGATGTGGTGTACAGTGTCCTTGTACCTCTCAATCCTCCCCCGGGGCACACCTTCCATCTGGAGATGGACACCTCAGGGCACATACCCGGCAGGAACTTCTGTATCCGCGTGGAGCCGGTGTGCACCTGCCCAAGGGAGCAGCAGGATGACAACGTGCTGTGCTCCCTCCACCACCCAGAGGACGAGCAGAGGAGGAACGAGGAGCCCAACTTCCTAAACACCCTCTGCACTGGCTCCTACCTGGATGTGGAGAAAACTGCCCGCTGGTTCTACCAGTTGGTGAGAGCGGTCTGGCCAGCTTTGCCTGAGTCACACAGTTGGCAAATAGTGCTGCTGCCCTCCAGCCGCTGCTGCAAATTCAAGATGAGCAGAGACAGAGAGAGCCTGATGGTTGAGGTGCTCTTTGGGGTGCAAGAAGGCAATTCAGACATCTACGTGAGCAGCCAGCCTACAGAGGCCCTCTTCACCCCAAGCACAGTGTGGCCTGAGACCTACGCCGTGGCAGAGATGAAGTTCTTCAGGCACATTGCCCGGCAGGTTCCACGTGACAGCTGGCACCTCAAATGCTTGCAGCTCTTGGTCCGAGCTCTTCTGGGCATAGGCTTCTCCACCTATACCCTGAAGACCATTGTGATGCACCTCCTGAACACCGTACCTCTGTCAGGCTGGCGCATGAGGCATTTCCGACAGCGGCTGGAAGATACCATGGAGTACCTGCACGGCTCCCTGGAGGAGAAACGCCTTGACCACTTTGTTGTGGGCAACCGGACATTCCCTCAAGAGATTCTCTTGCCCCCTGATGTCAAAACCGCCGAGCCACCCAACCTCTTCCATCGCCTGGCACAGGATCCGGCCGCCCACACGCAGGCAATGAACGAGTGCCGTGAA